AAGGGTAAAACAAAAATGCCTGAAGAGTTGGTCTCAAAAAGAAAGAAATCCAAACAAATAACCAAAACAGTGTCTAGACAACTAGCCTGACTTCCTCTTTTCCAGTAAGACAACAAACTTCTAGTAAACAGGTTCTGCAGTCAAAGGTCCCCTTCAGATGTGAGCAGTTACTCAAAACGTAAGACATGTTTCAAATATCCTAGTTAAAACAGCTATATAGACCTTTGTACAACAAAGAGAAGGCGCTAACTTCTTTCTAGGAAGGAATATTCCCTCTTAATCAGTGTGCATCAGACAATCTGAATCTGGCCCTGCCTGTGGCGGGGGGGTTGGAACTTGATGATCCAACCCAATAAATACAGTCAATTTCATGTAATAAGTAGGCCTATAACATTCAAAATGAAAACAAATCAAAAACTTCACTGATTGAATGAACAGGCAGCAGAAACACTGAAGCAACTTTCCAGCGTAATTACTGATAGTCCATAATACAGAGCCCTTCTGGAAAAAGAAGAGTCTCTGTCAAGAACTGTATTGAAGCAATTATAATTGGCAGTCCAGAAAGATTTGTCAGCACCTGTAAATCCATGTGGCAATATGGCACACTGCCATCACTGTCAATTCATTGATCACAATAACTCTCAATTACTGTACTCTCATCCCTGCTATGATGCACATGTATCAAATGGTTGTTACACAGAAGTAGAAAAGCACGGTTCTGCCTACTTGCACTATTTAGTACCAGCAACTGCTAAAACAACTATTAGCACTGAGTATAACATGCAATGTGATGGAACCTCTTCCAGTCATATGCTTTAAAAGTAAGGTGCAACCTTGGAACAGAAAATCAGAATATTGTAATTCATTTGAAAGTAATGGAGAGGTGAGACAGTAAAAGCATTTCCAGAGCATTTGATAGAAAAATGCAGAACTAATGATATGGACATCTGTTAAAATAAACTTTGAATGAGATTTTCCTAGTTTTTTTTTTGAAAACTGCCCTTTATTAGAAAATACAACTATATAGAAATATAATTAAAAATTGAGTGGAAAATTAAACTTGTGTTTCAAAAAACTTGGGGTGGTGTTTGCTGCAATGACATGACTGCTGCCAGATCCTCAGAGGGTTTACTTGTACTAGCAATCACAAAACAGAAGTGGTAGAGGAGCAGCAATTTAGTCTGACAAGCTAGATGCAAAAGGTTTGGATTAAAATGTTTTCCAACTACAATATTTGAAACGCTGTGTGTACTTCATGCAACTCAGGTACATGATGTTATTACTTTAAAACAAGCTATATCAGGTATAACACCAAGATATTTAACTTACCCCTCCCATTGTAATGCCATCAATAAGTGCAACATATGGCTTCTTGCAAGTGCCTACAAGAAATGTACAAAATTGGTTTTTCTCCAAAAAAAATAGAATGTGACTAACCATACATTTCCCCATGTCTTACTTCAGCAGGAGTGACAGAAGATAGTTAATAAAATATCTTTCTTACAATGAAGCTGCTCCATGTGATTATTAAGCAATGTGAAGAAATGCCAGCAGCTGACTTCATACACTCCTAGTGTTGTAGGAGAGCATGAAGTATCAGTGTGAGCTCCCAATAATTTAGCTGTATCTGCTTATTGTAAGTAGCCTTGCAGGAAGTTGGACGCAACAGTTCCACTTTTGCCTAATATTATGCTTGGATTAAGAGTACAGTGTGTGTCCCAGTAGTTGAGCACAAAGCCAAGGTAGGTTTAAGCTAAAGCATGACTACCAGCTACTGCAATGTGAACGTGTTCTGTCTTGCAAATTCTGCTGCATGCTCCAGCCCCAGTGTGGTATGAGTCAAGATGCTATCCTAAAGCACTGTGACTTTAACTGTTCATGTTGTCGGAGCTTCTAGGAGGTATCAAACTGAGGACCTGATGCTTTCAATTACTGTTTATGGAAAAATTCAGATTCATTCTCAGAATTAATCAGATTGCTGATACAAGTATCTGCTGCAACTATAGACCCGTGTTTTAAAACAAACAAAAAATATGCTACAAGGCACTTCAGTCTTTGAGGTTATTAGTCACAAAATATGAGAACTGAATCTTTAACTTTGCTCTTGCATGAACGTATAAGGTAGCACATAGGCTCTAGATAATAGAGCCTATAATAGATAATAATCTCTAAACTTAATTTCCGTAGAGGTATGTCTTCCCGATAACAAATGCAGCAAAAAAGCAGCTCCCCTGTGTGTTTGAAATTGTGGACTGCAATATAAAGTATTTATTTCCAGTAGAAATCTCAATCCTAAGGGAATACAATCATGCCAGAATTACCTAAAACCTAGATTTTGTAATTATATGCACTTAAGGTATGAAACACCCTAATCACTTATAACAAGCTAACAAGCATTTGAATATATGTTCTTGCAATGTTTGCCATACCAATACTAAGCTTTTACAAGAAACCTCAAGCTGAAAGCAAGAAGGCATGGTAAAAAAAAAAAAAAAAAATGCTAAGCCATGACAAATCAAATAAAAACAGCTTTTCAGACATTATTTTTAACCTAATAACTATTATTCTATACTTTTCTGGCAACACAGGTTATTCTCCAACATCTTCATTGCCTCTCCTCTGGTGGCTAATAGTGGATACTCTGGATGTTTAAAAACCCAAACTGTATTCAATTAAAACATGTTCTGAGAAGTTTTTTCAAACTACAACATTCAACTCTTTTTTCTCCCAAAAGAATTAGTATCCTTTAATATCTCTATTCCTTTACTTGATTATTCTCTAACTTGTAACACTGCTTAGCCCTGGGTTCTTTGCAGTAAACTAAGGCAGTAATCTCCTAGTTTGACCATTCCTTTGAGAAGCCTACTTAAATGGAAAGGTTTAAAATAACTTGATCTTCTGTTGTCTAGTTGAGTGTTAATGTTTTTTCCGTGTATGTATTTTTATCTCTTTATGGCTTTGAAGTAATCAAGGATAAGTAGTGCAGAACTGCTCTGTCTCTATCTAACAAATCATCCATTGCTGAACTGTAACTACCAAGAACAACAGGATGGGATGGGGTAGCTGTGGAAGGTTAAACACAAGAAACTGCATGCAAGGTATGAAAATGATGTGTTACGTACTAGTATTGAACTTGTTTTTTTAAAAAAATGATTTATTCTATTATGCTATCATTTATGGACAAGAAAAGAGAGAAAGTGAACTTATGTTCTAAGCCATTGTTATGAAAACTATATTCCATTAAAATTTGCTATTAGACATACCAACAGCATTGTTCAGTGTGTATTCGTCTCTGAAGTAATCTTGTGTCATTCTATCTCCAGCTTTCCCTGCATCTGCAATAGCTTAAGAGAAATAAAAGTTTTAAAGATCACTGCAGGATTAATAGAACATTAAAAAAAATAAAGAGTACAGAAGTGAGTACTATATGAGATTTTTTTTGTCCTACAGCAAACAACAACATAATCCTGCTTTATTTTACCTGAGCAATCAGACTTACCAAACTGAAATATAAAAATAAACTATCAAAATACAGTGCCTTCCATTATGGTGGGGAGTTTGTCACGTACTTCTTGAGAGAGTACAGTCTATTTGCTGCACTATAAGACCTCTTGTAATGGTTGGCAACCTTGTTTGCAGTGATTTCATATCAATATGTGGACCAGACACTTAAAACTGAAGACCGAATACTAAAAATGGAAAAAATGTTAAGAGCAGGGTGTAACTTAACAACCATCTGTGTTGCTTGTTTACATAAGCTTTTAAACAACCATTTCTCACAGTTTAGAGACTTCCTATTATATGTAGTTACAGAATAGTCATGAATACATTGATTCCTGTAGTCAGCTATTTATCTTCTCATTCTCTGAGTCAAATATCAGACATAAATTATTCAATAGTAGCAGTGCTACCTATTGAGACGCTTCAAATTTTTTTAGGGAAGCAGTCAATAAGGAAACACTGGGAAGGAAAAGATAAGAACCTTCTCTTTCTAGTAATGATTGGCTACTATTGCCAGTTACTCATACACAAACATTTGACACATCTTTCACGGCTACTACTTTGTGTGGATTTAATTCCTTTATTTACTGTGACTCAGGTAAATGGACACGTGCTATGAAACAGTGAGAGATGAGCCTTGCTGACTTCTGACATCTTGCTCTGCTATCATGAGAAAGCTGTTTAAATCAGGGTATGAAGGAACAGAAATTGGTTGAAGAGTCCTTACCTCTAACATCACCACCAGCACAAAAAGCTTTTTCTCCAGTTCCCTTTATAATTATTAGAAAAGTTTCAGGATCTTGCTCCCAAGCCTAAAGAGAGGTAAATGTTCCCACATAAGACTAAAGGCTAGGCATAAAAATATACTGTTTATGGACAGTACATGATTATGATTTATGAAAAAAAAAATAACATACTTTTAAAACATACTTAAAAGAAGTCAGGGCTATATGTGTTTGTGTAGGAATCTCTAATTTCCTCTCCATTGTCATGTTCAGCCTTGGTTCTGGAGATCAGCACAGCTGCTTATGAAGAGCTCCTAATCTCTAAAGACATGCAGTTCCACAAGGCCCTGCTTTAGGGAAATCTCAAGGGGAATGCAATGATGAGGGAGAAAACTAGTAATGCAGGAGATACAGTAACTATGTTTCAACAGAGTTCTGTTGAATCTAAGATGTGTAGCAAGGAAGAGCATTGAAGTTGTTGATGGACACTCTCAGAATTACAGCAATCAGTGCCAGCCATGTCAATTTTGTGCACAGGCATTTGCGACAGGATACTTCTGTGTACCAGCAACTGTACTCAAAATAATGCTACCTTTAAAGGTTGTGCCTCAAATAAAGTCAGTATGCAGTACTACAGATAAAGTATTTCTTTAAATGTTCTTCAAAGAATGCATAAATTAGCAATGAAACCATCTATCAAGATACAAATGCAGGAAACTATCTAACCAACACTGGTATTTCATGTCTGACTTCCTGAATATGATCAATAACATCACTCAACTAAAAAAGGATTATTTGCATGATTAAAATTTCACATTACTTCATTACCTTGTAGAAACACTGCCTGTAACTCCATAAAGCTACTCTTTGAGGAACAAAACTAAAAGTAACTTCCTTCCTAATGACTTGTATCTTTTGTTTCAACTATGCAGCCTCCCAACCAAGCATGCACTCAATTAAGAGCTTGGATAGTTAGGAATATATATAGCTTGGAATACATGCATGACCAGCTGGGTGTTGCCAACAGGAATGTATGAATGCTGACAGCTGCCTGCCTTTAATTCAGACCTGGTGTTAACATGGGTGTCTTATCTGTGTAGATGCTAGAACTTTTTGTCTGACAGCTTTTTGCTTTGAATCTTTTTCTAATGTGCTTGAAATTGTCTGTTCCTTTCCATCCTATAGATCTGAGCTCATTGGACAGTGATCTCACAACAAAGTATGTGTGAGAAGAGTCAGGCTGAATCTTAAAAATGGTATCTGATAATGTAACAGCTACTCACCTTTATTTGTGGATAAATTTGTTGGATCATTCTCAAACTTAGTGCATTGAGAACCTTGGGTCTGTTCAAAGTTATTATTCCTGCGCCTCCTTTCTTTTGCAGCAGAACATCAGCTGCAGAATCGGTATGCTTACATGTTTTCTGTAAGTGCAAAAACACTACGTAAAGCAAATGTCTTTGATATCTTAAGTAGCATACAAGACTGTTCATGGAAACATACTCAAAGTTTACAGTTTAAGATTTAAAAACATACACTTTGAATTCCATGCTAGGGCTTTCCTGCTGTACTTCAAGTATTGGTACTTCTTACCAGGTTCTCCTGAAACCACTTTGTGCAAAAAACCTCTGACAAGCTCTTGAGTGATACATCATTTGACAAAGACATCTGGGGGTACTTAAAAACCAAACAAATAAGCAAAAAACTATGGTTGTATAAGCCAGACATTTGAAAATACCCGTAACAATTACAGTAAGAATTCCAAGTATCTTTCAGGCTTGTGGTATTAAATTGCCAGTATGTGCACACAGCTTTGACTAATTTCTAACAGCTCTGACTAATTTCTAGCAGCAGAGAATTGCTCACTAAACTACTTTCACGATTGATTTTGAAGTGGAATGATATTTAAGGGGAAAATATAAGGCAGGCAGCATGGAAACAAACTACAAAATTAGGTAAGGCCAAAATAATTGGGCTTTGAGTTATGATTTAATAGGCAGTTACAAGAGAGTGCTCAAAGATGTGGGCAAGGTTATGCTGAAATGGTATTCAGGAGCATCATGGACAGACATGTTGTAAGTTGCATGTGCTGTCTGTCTCAGGAGTGAGTCCCAAAAGCTCCCACCTTGGTCAAACAACATGCTGTTCTTACCAAGTGCTGTAATATTACTTGCAGTCTGTTAAATGGCTTCAGTCTGAAAGAGAAATGTTAAGAGCTGTAGCTATAAAACAGCTATGCAATCCCCAAGCACACAACTGCTGAGCTATGCAAAGTTCTGTCTGAAAACTTCCTAGACAGGATTGTTCCACATTCTACTTTGGCTTAATCAAGAACTATTTTGTGATCAAACTGGTTGGAGATGTCACTGTATGCTGTTATGTAGGTGGCAGATAGCAGTTAATGGTTTTGGTGTATTTAACCAGTTTCAAGCTCTGAGGTTTGGCTGCTAATAGGGAAAATAGGAGTCCGGGGGACACTTTTGCTAAGGAGCAGCATCTCTGACGATTTAGAGCTGCGGCATTCGCTGGACTTTAGACTACAGGCGCCAGGCTTACGTTAGCATGAGCCAGAAGCGCTGCCTCTCAGCACCTTGTGTACACACAGAGCTGGCCGGCTGAGCTCGAGCAGCGGCAGCACACTCTCGCGGCCTGCCGTCCTACACAAGGTCATCTTTTGGGACCGGGCTCAGCCGCAGCAAGCCAGCACGCACCCGCGTTACGGCCCCCTTGGGGTCACGGCCCCCCAGCCTCAGAGGTCAGCGACTGTCGGCACCCTGCCGCAGCGCGCACAGCCAAGCGAGCCGAACCCGAGCTGGACACCTACACGCCCACCCCTCCTCAGCTTTAGAGGGACCCGGCGGGTTCCGGCCCTACAGCCGCCGCCCGACGGCACCCGGACCGGGCGCGGCCGCCGGGCTCCGCCGCCCTCAGGCGGGAGCGCGGGAACGGGCCGGCCGTTACCTGCGCGGCGCCATCAGCACGCGGGCCGCCATGGCGGCAGCCGGCGCCGTCGGTCTCCGTCATCGGCGGCGGTGAGGCGGGGCGGGCGCATGCGCGGCACTCGTGTAACTTTCCTCCGCAGGGGGGGCCGTTCCGAAAGGTGGACGCGGGTTCGAGGTGGCGGTGGTCGCTGGTCGCTGCCTGGCGGTAGCTCGCTCGCTTCTCTCTCACCGCCGCGAGCTGGGCGCTGGCTGTTCTCCTTCACACGTGTATTGGAAGCCGACAGAAGCCTCGCCGGCCCGCAGCGCGGCGTGCGGCGCTGACCCCCAGAGGGCGGCCGCGCTCCGTGTGGCGGGAAGGCGCTCCGCTGCTGCCGGCTCGGCGCCGCGCCCTCACTTCGTCGCGTTCTTAAAGGTCGTTAAGGTAGCATCTCAGCAGGGCATACCCTGTCAGCAACTTAATAAGCAGGTAACGCTGTTGTACTTTGCGTCTGGTGCCCGAAGACCTCAGGGGCTGCGCCTGTCTGTGGGGTAATCCCCGCGTTAGTGCCGCCGACGTGAGGAGATTAGCCCGTGGAAGATAATTGCGGGTAGGAGCCTGTGTGCGACTCCGGGAAACCCCTGAATGGATTCCAGCTGCACGCCAAGGGCAAGGCTACCATAGGGCATGATTACACAGGGTGTGGGTGCCTAGGAGCCGGAACACAGGTCGCTGCTCTGATGCACCTTCTACTTACCCCGATTTTCATGTTTCATCCCCTCCTGGCTTCAGGGCAAATAATGGCCTTCCTTTGCTGCCTCCCAGCTGTATGTCTGATGTAGAAGGAGAATGGGGCCTGCTGCTTTGTAAATAATGAAGTACCACAAGCATCAGCTTGCAGCAGCTACTGATTTCTTTCCAAGGTGCTTAATGTTTTCTTTAATTTTTTTTTTCTTTCCCCATTGGTTTCAAGAAGGACTGGAGCTATGTTGCTTGAGACTAGTGTTCTACTTTATTTTAAAACAAAAGTAATTAAAAGTAGGAAAAAGAGTGAAAATTATGGGGTTGCATGGAAGTAATTTGAATGAGGTGACCTTTAACCAGGGAGTTCATGGATGGTGTTACTATTAGCTGAGACCTGCAGAAGACTGGATGTTTTAGAGTAAGCAGCACCTCAGTTGCCAAGCCAGGAATTCAGGGAGTGCAAGTACAGTAGCCAGAAGGATAGGCAGGTTGTAATTCCTCCCTGTGGAGAAATTTCCTGCAGTGTGTTCAGCAGGTTTGGAAAGAGAAAACAAATTGATGACTGTAGGAGGACATCAGAGCTGAGCAGATGTTTTGGGGTTTTGTTTTTGTTCAGTTATTGGTTTTTTTTTTGTTTGTTTGTTTCTTTTCTAGAAAAATATAACTTATACATCAGGATGTAGGTGCTCTTGCTCCCAAGGACTCCAAGAGCAGCTCAGCTGCATTCTGTATGCCACCTCTATGTGCCTAATTAATGATTAATTTGTACCTCTCAGTTACTTGCCTCAGAGCTGCTCTGCATGTATTTCACCAAGAGCAGATAATAAATGGTGCAAGTACTTCATCATGTCCTGTGTTACTGCATCTTAGCTTGCAGTAAACTGAATCTTTTCCTCCATTGGTCTAAGAGCTAGCATCTAATTTCTGTGTGTGGATAGTGTGGGTAGTAATCTTTACAGGTACATCTTTACAGTAGACAAAGGTAAGGAAAAATGAGTGTGAAGGCTGAAGAATAGAATGGGGGGGATCTCCAGTTCATCCCAGCAAACTGGCAAGCAATCCACAAATTGTTTGTCTTTTTTTTTTTCCCCTTTTTTTCCTCCTCAGCTCAGCCCTTGTTGACAAAACCGTAAAACACGTGTAACAGGTTTAAATACATACTTGCTTCAATGTGGACAGTAAGTACTGAAGGCTCAGGTCTGCTGTGGAAAGTCTGCCACTGGCTTCAGTGAGAGCAGAATTTGGCCTTAAAATAAGTAAAACTAAATAAGGAAAACTAATCTGCGCTCTCTAAAAATAAGCCAGCCCGGAGAAGGACTGAAACACAGGAAACACATATGTAATAGGGAGAAGCAATTTTTGCTTTTGTTTGTAATGCGAGTAATCCCACAGGGAGAGACTCTATTCCCCCAGGCTTTTAGTCAGAGCCTTGTCAGATAATGCATCCATATAGTCTCCGAAGTCATAGATTTGGGAGGAGTGCACAGCGAATGGCATTCAGAATTGAATTTCTCCCCTAACTAAAATGAGGGGAAGCTCTTTCCCCTTTTACCCGTTATCCTGCATTTTACTAGTGGGGAAGTAGAAGCATTTGGAAAAAGATGAAAGCAAAGGCATGATGAAACTGCAAGAGTGAAGCATTTTTTCCATTTTCCTCTGGCCTCGGAGGGCACTGGGGAGGCGCGGGGGTGGCTGCTGCCGCAGCAGGCGCTCTGCGTGGGCACAGCCGGGACAGCCTTCCAGTGAGGTCTGTCCGTCCATCCATCCATCCATCCACAGTGGGCTCCTGCACTCCCACCACCCTGGCTTAGACATGCTGCATCCGCCCACAGGTACCCTCTGGGTTAGACAGGACCCTGGGCAAACACCCTCCTACGTCTTTCTTCCCTGCTGCCGCAAGCAATCTGTCACTCCTCCCCTCAAACCACCCACCACCCACGCGCAAAACCATAACTGCAAGGAACACCCTCTCTCCTTCCCCCTTCGCTCCCCACCGGTCTGTTTTTCTCAGCAGATGAAAAATTCCTGGAGATCTGGCGGTCGCCCCCGTGTTTGGCTTTTGAGACCCAAGGGGTTGGATACCTTTTAGGCTCACAGCGCGGCGAGCTCTGTTTGCAGATGTATTGCCATAGTTTCTCATTTGCGTGTAATTACACATGTGCAGGTGGGAAAGGGCTGGTTGCCTCCCACTGCCTTCCTTCCTTCCACTCCCGCTCCCGGCCTCCCACGCATCCAGCGATGAGAAACGCTGCAGAAGACTGACCAGCCACCAGCCCGCCCACCTGAGGAGGAGGAGCACCAGCAACAGCAGCAGCAGTACATTTCTCTCTCTGCTTTTTAAACACAGTTAAAAAGAGCTGCAGTGTGGGTGGAAATAGCTGTAGGGAGAGTGTGTGGGAATGGGGCCAGGGGAAAGTGAATTTTCTGTTGGTAGGACAGTTACTTCTAGTAGACTAGAAAAAAAAATACTCAAGGATAACTTGCTGCTGAGAATGTCTTCAGGCATACAATTAGTTCTTATGGTTGAGTATCCCAGGACTGGAAAGAATGAAATGGTGTTTATTTTTCCCTGGTAGTCAAAGTGGCAGCCAGTGCTCCACACTCAGGGAAGCTTGCATACAAGCCTCCAGGAGGCTGAATAGGAAGGAGTATTTGTGCTGCATCCTGTTGTGTCATCCTGTCTCTTGTTATGCTCCTGCTCTCCTGATTCAGTAAGAGAGCTGCCGCTATGTAGGAAGAGGAAAAAAAGCATCTGGTTTTCACAGTGTGGAGCTGTATTTCAAAATACCACCCCTGCTGGACCTCTTGAAATAGCAGCATCCCAGAATATCAGTTAATTCACTATTTACTCTAAATTTGTGCTCTGATGAGAAATTCAGGTTTGTTTATGTTAACGGGATGTTATCTGAAATACTTTGCTTGTATTACCTGAAAATAGCATGGAAACTCGTGTAAGAAAATACAAATCATAAGACCGATGGCATAGAATGCAAAGTGGTACCACTGTTTCTTAAGAAATATGTCTGATAGACTCAGAGAACTGAGGGCACACAATGGCTTTCAGGTTCTGACTCAGTCTAGCCCATCTATCTAGAAAGAAAGGTTTTCCAGTGTGTAATCCTAATCAAGTTGTCCTAACTTAGGCTAGTTGTATGCATTCTTCTCAATCCAGAACTGCCCATATGTTTCTCAGGATCTCTCATCAGTATCATTCTGGCTTTCCATTTGCATTACTGATGCCAATTGTTATATCAGGATGTGGTCTGTAGGCATTCAAGGAGGTGCAATAACAGGCAACTAATGCGTTTTGGGAAATTGGACTTTCAAAGTACAGGAGATATTTCAGAAATCTGGAGTGGGTCATGTAGTACAGACCTTGAACCCCATATTTGAGTGGTTTCTGCTCGATACAGTGACTTTCTCTGTGAAAATCCAGGGTGTGCTAAAGCACAAAGCCCTTTGAAAGGCACTCTACTTCCTAGACAAGACAGCAGTCTGCCAAAGCCATTTCTAAGGCTGGGGCTGCACAGCTGTAATGCATGAGGAAACTGGGCTCTCTGACTTCAGTGCCTCCCCTACCCCGGCCCATTTTCTGTAGCTCTGGAGATTTTATTCTGGCTTAGGAATGGTAAGTGTAGGCATAATGCCTTCCGCTGGTGGGCTCAGAAACAAATGAAGTTATGATTAAGCCTAACGCAGATCTCCGTGTGACACAACAGGAAGATCAGCTGATGGATGTACGTTAGTGAGATGAGACATGGATCAGCAGAGATGTAACCTCAGTGGAACTAATACCCCCATCTTCTAAAAGTCTCATTTCCGAAAGGCTTCGGTGATTAATATTTTAAGTATATCCTTATATCTTTCCATTGAACCTTATGTAACTTGTAATTATTATCTACTGGAATTACATACCCACAGTGAGGAGGAAATATATTCCAACTAGAGAGTTCATGTCACTTGGCTGATTTACTTTAAAACATTGCACTAATTTCTTTGTCAGTAGCATTTGGAAGCAGTATTGGCATGCTTGTAATACTATCCTGCATTTAGCATTGGTTCAGTTAACTTTAAAGGTAGTGCTTTTCATACCTTTTGTATCAATGAATGTACATCAGATTTTAAATGCAGATTATACGCTTATCTTGCCAGCTACTGTTAGCCTGGAATTTTCCTCAGGTGATCTATTGTGGTGGAATGATATTATTCAAGAAGTTAAAAAAAAGAAAAAGTCATTTAGAATAATTTCAAGTCTATTTTAGGAGTTCAGTCATGTATGTAGTACTGCTCTTGGCTTTCTGCTGTAGCCTGGAACTGTCTTGCACTTCGGTCTTGCAGCATCTGGTACCAAACTTTGCCTTTTCAGGGGTCATAGGGAACCAGTCATTACCTAAGCATGAGAGCATCTGGCGTTAATTAGTAGTGTTCTGACACAGGATGGGTACAGAGAGCACTTCAGGTGTCTGTGTTAAGAGCTGGTTGGTGCTCTAAGCCTTGGTAAGCCTCTTCAGCAGGGCAGTTTGGCTGAGAATGACAGTTTCTTACTGCACAGATGTGTGTGTATTTTAACCTTGACGTGTTACTCACCTGGCACCTTGCATAAGCATTAATTTTCACTTGAAAAGTTCTACATTTGGCTTAGAAAATGTATTATTAAGAAGAAATGTTCAAATTTCTTTCCATTTTCTTTGATTCTGAGGTGCAGCTAACGCTGTTCATTAAATAATGGCTCTGAAGAACATTGCCCAGGAGAAAGTATCTCACTTAATGCCATAGATGATGCAAAGAACAGGGCAGATCAGATCAGAGAAATTAAAAATCAGGAAGAAAATAGGTCAGGAGAATAAAGAGAGGTCCTTAAGCTATTTAAAAGTAAGCATTTATCATTCGTTACTGCAGATATATTCTGCTCTGAAGCATAAATTACCAGGCTCCATTACGGCGTAATTGTGGGCAAATGCTAACTTCAGTGCAACTCAATTTAGCAGATTCCTGTAAGTAGGTGTAATTATTAACCTCATTGAAAGAATGTGTAGCAAGGTAGAAGGGAACGTGTTTGTTTGTTTGTTTCAAAGAAACATGGTCATTCTGGGTCGTCAGCTTTTTGCAGTGGAAGTGATGGGGGGAGTGCTTGGCTCCCGCAGCCCCATGCGCTGAGTGCTCTTCTCCAGAGGAGTTCAGCTTGGTGAAGAAAGCAGTGGCAGCCCTGGCAGGGCGCAGCACAGATCTGAATTGTGCACAGGCAGTTTGCAGTCATCAGTTCTCTTTGTCATCTCAGTCTTCTTTTTCACCCGGTGGTTTTCATGATGCACGGCTTCTGTCTAGACCTTCCTTCTCTCTCACTTGCTCTGTCTGTGACAGCAGCCAGCCTGGAATGGAGGTTCATGCTGCTAAGAGAAGTAGGTAAGAATACATAATTATTTCAGAAATAACATGTTACACAGTGTGATTTAGTCATACTTTGACACACCTCTGTCTGCCAAGAAATAGGCAGGCACTACCTTCTAAAGCTGTTGCTGAGAGCAATCCTTCAGGCTCAAGGAGCACGAAGCTGCTTCATTGTATGGATAGCTGCAGGAGCTAGCAGCGGGGTTTGGTCTGGGGCC